ACACCAGCTTCTCCCAAACTTTTACCGTCAACTGGCCATCTCATGTGACTCCATCCCCAACCCCTGTGCTGTGGCTATAAGAGAGTGTGAGGTTGCGAGATTGGTGGGACATCAGGCTGGAAAGGGACAAGTGGGAAGACAGCCCCTGGCACTGCCCTCCCCACCCAGGGTTTGGGCTTCCCCACAGCCCATCTTGTGCATAAATGTGGGAGATGTTCAAAAAGTGTTTATTGACTAAATGAAAACATCCTTCCGCTAGAATTAAACTGAACAGCTTATTTTCTTTGTGAAACAAAACACTGCCAGAATCCTTTCACTATTTAGAGTACACTTGCCCTCTTCTCTTTATTTCCTCAGTCGTTCAGCAATTAACTACTGAGTTCTCACTGGTCTTGGATAGAGCATGACGTAATGAGCAGGCAGGAGACTCGTTGCTGCCATTGGGCAGGGGCTGGTGCCAAAATAAGCACACAGAGGAAGCACAGGTGTCGGGTGGCAGTGGTGATGGTTTGGGTCACTTGGGGTAGATGCTCACTGTGGCCTTACTAAGGAAGTGGCATTCAGGCTATAATGTAATGCAAGTGGAGCCAAGCATGCAAAGCCAGAGGGAATTGCATGCCAGGCAGAGAACTGCACCCAGGCTCAAAGATGAGATAGAAAGTGCTGGGAGGAGAGGATGGACGAGGCTGGACAATGGGCCATGGTCAAGTCATGCTTGCTGGGTTCCTGTGGTGTTGCAGGGTGGACATTCCGGTCAGAAAAGTTAGCATTGCGAGGTACTACTCCTGGGCTTTGGGCAGCAACTGCCAAGAGCATCTCCGAGTACTTGAGATGTCCCACCTTGTAGCTGCCCATCTCTAATAGCCCTAGGGTTAGAAGGCTTTGTTGGCTGGGGAATGGAACCTGGGCTTTATCCCCAGTGCACTGGGAACATTCTGGAGGTGAGGTCAAAGTTCGTGGTGGAAATGGTGGCTGCAGGTCAGCTCTGGCTACTCCGTGTAGACACTGAATGGGAAAGTGCTGAAGAGGCCAGACCAGGTCCAGGAGCGACGGTAGCCAGATGGGTGATGAGAGAAGCAGATGGGTTCACACTGAGTCTGGAGGAAGAGTTGGTGGGAATTATTGATAAGAGGATCAGGAAAAGAAAATAATCAGGTAACATTGGCCTTTCTTCAACAATTAGAGTATCATGTTTCTGTTTCTAGGGAAGGAGAAGACTGGAAAAAGGATTGTTTAGACTGATACATGGGAGCGTTGTCAAGTGTGCAGTTGGGTCCTCACACGTGCTGGGCAAGAGAGGTGGAGGCCAGAGAAAGATCCACTGGAGAGTCACCGAGACACCGGCGTCCTTAAGGCATCAAGGTGTCTGAGGGTCTCAAGAGTGTTTCCACGGAGACAAAAAGAGGCCTCAGGCTGGAGCCCCGGCAGCTAGGACCCCCAGAGGTAAACAGGAGAAGAAAGATCAACGGGAAGTGGCAAAGGGACTGTCAGGGATGGAGGAGGAGAACCAGGAGAGGGTGGGCTCACAGGTGGCAAGAAAAAAAAGTGTTCCCAGAAAGAAAGAGGCTGGTCCTCTGCGTCCAGTGCTACTCGGAGACCAAGTGACAGGAGAGCGTGTTCTGCTGGCAGAGGCATCCTCAACCCGGTGAGCTCTCTGGGGACCTGAGCAGGTGTCTTGATAGAGTCATTGGCTTGGAACGGGTTGAGAAGTTCATGTGGGCTATTTATTTTATGAAGGGGAGAGAGAGAATGAGAATGCAAGTGGAACTGTCTGAATTGTGTGTGTGTGTGTGTTGGGGAGCTTGGCCCCTGACTAAGCTGGGATGGCGCACCCTTGCCCAGCAACACAGCAGGGTCAGTCAGTGGGCACAAAGATGAGTGGCTGATGGATTTGGTGGCCTTGTCACGGCAATGTCCTCTCAACTGGATCCTATCTCAACCCTGCCTCAGGTGCTAACTCCACTGCCCTTGCACATCACCTGCTCCTGGTACCAGACCATTCTCCCCAGACACTGGCTGGATTTGATTCCCACCTCTGATCAGGGCCTGTTGAAGGCCACTGTGGCATTATGTCCAGATGCTGGCCTGGTACACACACAGACTGCAAAGTGGGAACCCGTGGTATCACTCACAGAGGCCCTGGCAGCCCTGACATTGAGCCATGGAGGTGCTCAACTGCCCCAGCTTCCTCCCAGGGCAGCTGCAGTTAAGTATCACCCTGCCTGGTCCCCCACCATGCCATTGCCTCCTCTCCAGCATTTACTGGGCACTGCACCCCCAGAACTTCCTGCAGTCCCTGACATCTAGCAGATCCTCATGGAATCTCTAAGAAATGCCTGCTGCAATGAGCGGTTTTCCAAACTGCCTTCTGGAGGCGGCGCTGTGGCCAGAGGGCTAGCTGCTTGTCACCTGCTTTGCCGCTCTCACAGTGACTCCACAACAAGCTCATGGACTCACTAACAGGAGCCAGCTCTACTCCCAGGTGCAAGTAGTCAGCTGCAGGTTCCACATCCAGGGCCGATGGAATTGACTCAACAGAATAACTGTCACTGTAATATCAAGCCGTGTCCCATGTAACATCTGCCTTCTTCAACACAAATTCAGACAAACGTTAAAATAAAACCAATGTGGAGGAGAGAAGGATCCTGTGCAGAAGTTCATGAGAACATGCGTCAGCCAAAGCAAAACAAAATGGGATGTTTTGTTCTTAATTATTTAAAGAAGCGTTAATATAATGTCCATTTGTCCCACGTGCACTGCCTTCCAGGGAATCCAAAATTAATAACATATGTCACTGCACTGAAGACTTGATCGGCTTTAAGGTACTCATTAGTGTATGTCCCAGCACGGGAGAAAAGCAGGCTGCCAGTTCCTGGGACGCCATGGTTGTAAAATGAACGTCTGCCCGGATGTCGGCTTCCTGCAGTTGAGTTGGAGTTCGGGGATTCCGTCTCTCTCAAGCAGGGGTCCTCAATGGGCATGCTTTGCATACACCTGTTCCTAGGGTACTTGGCAATAGCCAGGCACTGCTGTGGTGGTGGTTGTGGCACAGGCACCTGCAGGGCGGGCTCAGTGTCCGATGCTGCCCGGTACAGGTCCCGGTCACTGGGACACGCCGGTTTCAGCTGCCAGTGTGCTCCAGAACTGGCAAGGACAACTGCTACTACCCTCTCCTTCTAGATTGTTCTCGCCTTTGGTTTCCACAGGACAGTGACGGTAGGCACTGGGCCACTTCAGGACGCATCTGTGAAAGCCTGAACAAAGCGTTTTAGGAGCAGCCATGACTTGGAGTGATAATTTGTTTCAATAAATTAGACGAAGCCCTGCACCCGCCTTGGTTTCTCCCCTTCTGGTATAAAACCAGAAAATGCTTCTGGACACATTCTGCATTTTAATTATACTTTCAGAGGATGTAACGGCTGTATAAATTAGGCAGCAGTAAAAATTAAATTGATTTTTCCATATATCCAGAAAGACATGGGGCTTAATGGGTATTATAATTAGGGCCAATGGAATCAATTGTAGAATTTTTCCTTTGGAAGACACCAAAAACCTTAAATTGCACTGAACTTCTAACCTCTTCTAGCTTTGCATTTGCTTCCACAAAATCGTTTTTAACAGCTCTCAGAGTCCTCGCTTTGGCAGTAAAGTTGGTCCTTGCAGGGCGGACGCTGCGAGCAGGAGCCCTGGGCATCAGACAAGGTCTTCTTGCTCTCCCCTGCCTGCTGTGGCTCGCTTGGCACCCTTGAGCTTCCGAGGCTGACTCAGAATTGGCCTCTGACTGCTCCAGCTGACCAATGCTCTGCTGCTTTCTCCCTGACCTCAGGAGGAGAGGGCACGGCTGACTCCAAGACTGGTACAGAACGATGACAAATAAGGGAAGGCTGAGCACTGTGACAGCTGAGCTGGCGCCGACCTGAGTGTTGACAGGGGCCTGGCCTGGTCTCGTCTCCCCAGAAATGACTTCTGGGGACATCAGTCACCAGAGGGGACAGCGAGGATCAGGCTGACCCCCATCACCGCAGATGGCTACAACAGCCAGGGCTGATCCAGCCTGAGCCAGGAGTCAGAAGCCGTGTCTGCATCTTCCACTTGAGTGCAGGGGCCCAAGATTTGATCCGTATCCTGCCGCTTTCCCAGAAGCCCCTCCAGAGAGCTGGATCAGAACTGGAGTGATCTGGACTTGAACTGGCATTTATATAAACCGCAGGTCACAGCTTAACCTACTCTGCCACAGTGATAACTTCTAGAATTTTTTTTTTGATGCTTATCTTGTCTCTCTCTGTTTTTTAAATCTTTTTCTAGTATTGCTACATGTTTATGTTGTACCTGCCAGACTGCTTTTCTTCATTATCTCAATTTTTTTCCTTTGTCTATCTTCTCTGATTTCTGAGTGGCTATTTTATCTTCCACGCTCTATACTTTCATACTCTCTACTGAGTCATTTATAACTTTAATTTTCATTAGCTCTTTTTGCCTTCTAAATGTTTCCTTTTCTGCAACTTTTCTTTATTTGTTTTGTAGTTTTAGTATCATCTCTTTTCTCCCTGGGAATATTAGGGGTAGTTAATATAAAGTTTCTCTTATTTTCATCAAGTTATCGTTTGGGTCTCTATTTTTCAATGTTTGTTTATTTTGACTTGTTTATTTGAAAAGAAAAGGGGCACACATATATACACACGGAAAGAGAAAGGTCTTTCATCTGCTGAGTCACTTCCCAAATACCTGCAAGAGCCAGGGATGGGTCATGCTGAAGCCGGGAGTCAGGGACCCCACGCAGGGACTCAAGTTCCTGTCAGCAGTCACCTGTTGCCTCTTGGTGTGGAGACAGAAAGTTGAATCTGAAGTGGGGGGGGATCAGACTAGAAGCAGCACTCCGACAGGGGTCGAGGTGTCCCCAGCGGCAGCTCACACTCCTGTGCCACCATCCCTGCTTTAGTCTCTTATTTTTCAGGGCACATTGCTGTTGCTTTACATGTCTCTCTCATGGTTACGGCTGCATGTTCGCACAGAGTGGGCTACCACATGGAAGGAGGTTGTTGCTATTGGAAACTGTCAACTGATGACCCTGTTGAATTGTGGTTGTTCTGTTCAAGGTCCTAACATCCATGTCTTTGGATTTTTCTACTCGGACTGGGCAGATTCTTCAGAGAACGGGCTCCCATTCTCTCGGTTTGAGGGTGGACACCTGTGTGCTGAGGCAGAGACCCAAGTGTCAGCGCTGAGGTGAGTGTGTGTGCAGCCCTTGTCCCAGTTGCTCCAGCATGCGTGACCATGTCCATCAGGGCAGTGGCTGTTCTGTTATCTGTTCAGCTTAAGCCCTAGTCTGCTGCCACGTCCGGGTATGCAGATAGGACGTGGATGAGCCTGGAAAGGAGTGTTGAGCAAACACCCACACAATCCTCCTCCACATGCCAAGTGCACCATGGACGTCCGAGTCTGAGGGGGTTCTTGGAAAGTGCCTTTCTCAGCCTACTTGACCAGCAGCTCATCCCTCAACTAAACGGTGCTGTGCCGCCTCCTCCCCATTCTTGTGACTTCCTTGCATCAATTGGAGGAGAGATTGACAGCTGATCAACAGAGCAGTCCCTTGACGCTCTCAAAAGCCCTTCTCCCATTCTCTGCATGGCATCCTCAAGTTCGCTCTGATCTGTGGTGTTTGATATCCCCAGTCTAGTGCTGGCCCTCTGATCTGGGGTCTCTTGGTCACTTGATTCTCCTTGTGATGGGCAAACTGGACCCGTGTGATTCACAGTTCTACAAGGGACAGGCAGAGTGGCCGCAGCTATGCGAGGCACAGGTTACCTTCTTTCCTCCCCAGGGTACTGATGGTGAGCAGCAAGGACTCCCCCACCCCCCAATGCTGTGTGTTCAGACAATGCTGGCGGCATACCCACCCCCTCCCAGGAGCCCAGTTATCTGAGCAGAAAGTGTCTCCAAGCAACATCTGTTCACACTTAGCAGTCCTGAATCAATCTATCAATGCAGATGTTTTGGGGGCGCAAGGGCAGTAAAAGCTTCCCACAGAACACGGAGAAGGAGGCCGTGGGCACAGGGCATCCCAGAACTCTGGGCCTGGGATTTGGGGGTGGGGTGGTGTGCCTGGAAGGGGGAAGGTGTGATGTCCTTCCTCCACCAGGAGGACAAGCTGCCCTGCTGTGACCGCTGGATCCCTGAGGGAACCAAACCCAGCACAGCAAGCTTCGACATCTCATCGCTCGTGCCTGGTCCAGGCAGACGCTTCACCTCTAAGGATTTCTCCTGAGTGAGTCTCAGAAGGAAGACTGGGCCAGTCAGAGAAATAATGTCATTCTTCTCAAATCTTTAAACTCTGAAAAAGCTTGCAGTCCCTTTGGAGACCCCTGGCATGGATGTGACAATGATGCAGCCCAGAAGACGCAGCTTTTGAAGGATGCTCTTAATGGCAAACTTTAAATGAAGTCAATTGCTGGCAGCTCCATGACAATGCCGGCATGCTGTTGTCCTTTTCCGGCTTAACAAGAACAAAAGGCCACAGCCAGACCAATTAGTCATCTATGATGGGACGTGATGACATTTTTACTCCTGAACTTTTCTGGTATAAAAGGACCACCCGAGGAGGAGCTGACAGTAAGTGTGAGGAATTTGGCAATAAAACCACCTGTCGGCGCAGATTTGGGGAGGTTCAAAATGATTAAGTAAATGATGTATTTTCTGCAAATCTTACGTGCCTTTTCCTTGCACTAGCCTCTGTGAGACTAAATTTGAATTGTTTCTTCTTGCAGCTCAGTAAGTCTCAGTCTCATGCTAATTCTGTGGCTGTCCACGGCGCCCATGACTTGGGGTCACCCAGTTCCGCTGTCAAAGGTGAGTTCGGGTGCTTGATTAGAAGGCTACAATTGCAGTGTGTTTGCCTGTAAAACAACCTCAGGGCATATGTGACAGAAAACCAATTTCCTCTGTTTTTAGGGCTGTCAGCTGAAAAAAGAAGTGTAAGCAGGCTCATCATTTAGGGGGTTTTAAGTAATGCTCTTGGTTTTGAGATATTTGGGAGTTGGTCCTTGCTTGGGCAGATAATCATTTTCTTGTAAAACGTTCATTTTGGGGCCTGAGACAATTTGTGGATTCCACTTGTGTACATTCATACTAGCAAAAATACACTTTTAATCTTTGAAACTACGTTAAAAAATACAAGGATAACTTTTCAAAAGCAGTAAATTCTTGGTTTTACAACAATGAAGACTTTTCCAGATGTAGAATAAAAGCAAATTCTTAGATGCCAATGCCATACCACAGAAAATATTAATACACGTATTTATTCACAAATGTCGATTAAGTTCTTGGTTATGTACCTTGAACTCTTCGAGGTATTTGAAAAAAAATGAATGTCAGTCTGTGAAATACTTAATGCTACTTCTTTTTGATGGTTCAACCATTTATATCAATACTTTGTTTAACATTTTAAGATCTCATTGATCACCAATGGCATTTGGAACTGTAACTGCTCTTCACAGTCACTTAACCTGGCCCGTTGTAACTGCTGAATCCAGAGGAATGAATCAATGTTTAGGATAGGGAGACATCACAGATGCGCCAAATAACAAATGCGTATTTACACATAATTGCATTATGGGTTCTCTTTCTGATCTTGGCATCTGTCATTTTTCTATCTCTTGTCTTCTGCTTTTCCTGTCTCACTCCTGGGAACATTCGACACTAATTTAGTCATTGATCCTATAAGACAGCACATTGATCAAGCTGATGAGTCACAATCCATGGACTGGTGTACTTACCCCAGCGTCCTCCTAATCACTTTCTATTCTTTCCCCCAAGGTTTACTGTGACATTTCTGCTAAATAAGAGGCACTTGTCTGTAGTCATTTTTGTTTTTGAAGAAAAAAATTGAGAATGTGCTTTCTTCTGAAATACTAGTTAGGTTTTCTTGTCGACAGATGAAATATTTCCCTCCTCATCAATCTTTAGTGTCTCTGTGTCCGCACAGGATGACTTTGTTCTCATTATAGCCCTGTCACGTAGCAGCCTTGCACAAGGCAGTCATGCCAACTGGATTGCTCAGGGCGAACGACCATGCAAAGGCCATGTGTAGATTCTCTTAGACTTGTGAACTTCATAAGGTCCACCCACCTGGCAATTACGTGATGCCATTGAGTTAACACACGGGCTCTGGTCAGAGCTGTCTTCGATAGTAGGGAGCTTTCCAGGAGCTGTCAAGGGATGCTCTCGGAGTCTCACAACCAGAACTGGTCCATCTCTTCTGCAATCTGGAGGCATCGTGAGTAGTTCTGGAAAGGACCGGCTGGCTTCCCTTCCTGCCATGAGTCATGGGCCCTTCCTGCAGGGGATTTAAAATAGATGGCATCGTAACCATCATGGCTGGATGTCCTCTGGGAACACTGGCACAACACACAGTAGGTGTCCCGCTGAAGGCTTCTGATTGAGACTTTTGTGATCAATATTTCTGAAACTCTCTTTGAATTCCCAGATCACAAGAGAAGAATTTTTTTAAAAGCCCAGGTTTCCTCCCAGGGTAAACACATGCCTTGGGGAGCTCTGATTGCTGTGCTGTGCAGTGGAGGAAGAACTCCAGGAAGTGGTCTGTGCACTTCTGCCCAGTTCGCCTTGCCAACACAGCAGCATCCCGAGGTCAAGCAGCTCCCCCTGCACACGGCTGGGGCATAGTCAGGTGTTCCTGTGTAGTGTATCTCTGACTGTAACCCAGTCCATCAGCCTCCTGCTTCCCCATGTCACTGTGTAGCTCAGTAACCTGGGTTTAGAGAACTTCAAGCAACACTTATTTCACGGAGCTATGGAAATCCTATGGGCTGAGTACGTAAAGCGTATGGCAGCACGAAGATCCTGGCCAAACTCTTGGTGTTCTTGTGCATGAAATGTGCACCTGTTAATGTGTTCTAATTCCTCTGACACTGAGCAGGAAAGAAAGCACTGCAAATACTGATGCTTCTTAACACAGACTGGGAGGGGACTGTGCCTGGCACCTGCCAGGCCTGGGACGTGGAGCACTGCCCCTTTCCTGTGTCTGGGTCCCTCATCTGCTTCCTACAGGTCACTTTGAGCCCTAAGATTCCAGGCTCACTTTGCTACCCCAAGGCACTCTCTTACACCATCCTTCTCACCAGGTCTTGAGCCCCTGACAAGCAATTGAACCAGGGTCAAAGTATGAAAGTGCCGTGTTCAAGTACAAGACAGGCTTCTGAACCTCAGCAACTGGTCCTGGACAGCCTTGGGAGCAAAGTGCTTCCAACAGAAGCCTGGAGTTTGACCATCATGGAAAATTAAAAAAAAAATATTCCAGGACTAATAAATGCCAGCTGAGGGCTTCTTTACAGAATAACAGCAGAAGGTGAGCACGTGTGGTGCCTGGTGCAAACACTGGACCATACTGATTATGTGAACAAGTCGGTAGGCTGCTTCGAGGGCTATCTGCATCAAAATGAAGCGTGTCTGTGTTGTAGCGAAATTTCCACCCCAAGAAGATGGTGGATTGGTCACTGTAAACGTTTGGAAGTTGTTACTGCTGATATAGGCTTTTAACCCTGATCCTCTGCTCTCTCTGCCTCTCCGTCTGAATCACCAGGTAGCTGCAAAGCCTGACTACTTCCTCGTCCTGCTCAGCAGCTGTCCAAGCCGGATGGAGAGGAGCGAGGGACTGAGTCTGCCAAAGCCCATTTCGGAGAAGGCATTTATGAAACGGTCCTTCCGCAACGGAGTTGGCACCGGCATGAAAAAAACTTCCTTTCGAAGAGCAAAACCCTGAATAAGTGTGCAAAGGACTCTGGGAATTAATCTCAAGCTATGTAGAGTGTGACTAACGTGTTGAAGTCCAGCCTGCCTGTGCCTCCCAGCTGGCACAGGGTGAGCTGAGCTTTAAGATAGGTGCACCTGCCTCAAACTCCCGCTTGTGTGAGAAAAAAAAAGCCCTTTCTGTGGTCACTTAGTGACTTCCTGCAACGGCAATAGATACACCTGCTTTGATCTTAATTTGGCCAGAAGGCCTGAGCCTTTCTGCAGTCAGCACCGGAGAGGGGTTCTCCTTTTCTGCCTGCTACCCTGAAATATCCACACTGCACCTGCTCTCTTTTGATGTGGTTTTCTTGAGTGTCTTAGCAGAGCCCGTTCTTTTGGAACGAGCTTCTTCAGTTTGCTAAGAGTCTATGAAATTAGCCAAAGCCAAGACGAGTGCCATCAGGACACCCTGGATGTAATTTGCATCTCTCCCCTTCCAAATACACTTTGATAGTGATGCTGTGTTGACTTGGGAAGTGTTACCCTTTAAGATCTCGAAGCATGAACACTTCCAACAAGGACGGTCACACGGATTGCTGTTGTTGGGAGGCGGGAGGGGTCTTTGGGGGCCCCTTCCCCAAGGCTGTTACCCCACACCCTCCTCCAGGAAAGCTTCCCTACCCCGACCCCTCCCACTGGAGCTCTAGACATCAGCCGACTTGTTACTTCAAAGGCACAATGTTAATAAATGCATCCATGCACGTTAGATGCCACAGTTGACTAAGGGTGTTTACTCAGAGTGCACAGCCTCACAGACGGGGCGCTATGGGAACCGAGGGAGGGCCTTGGCCAAGTCATCTGCTTCAGAGAGGGACACGGAGTCTTTGAAGATTGCTTTGGGGAGCATGTCTCCCAGCACCGGGCTGATATGCTCAGTCCTACCTATGTCTACAAACAGCAACCTCATGCATGCTGTGCTGGGCACACGGCCCCATGTATCCACAGGAAGACATTCAGGCCTCTGAAGGCCTTTAGTGGCTGCCCTTGACTCTTAAAAAAGCAGGAAACTTTGTGGTTTAGGTGTGCATTTATTTCAGTCCTTACTACCCAGACTAACATGAAGCATTTGGGAATGAAGTCAAAGTTAAGGAGAAGAGACATTTATTAGAAGGATCTAGAAGCCCTGGGAAGAACATGTTGGGAACTCTCAGAGGAGCAGCCAGAAGTGGAAAGCCACTGGGCCCAGGCTGCTCCCTGCTCCTTGTAGCTACCACTCCCTCCCGAGGTCTGGATGTCGACCAGGTCTGCACGCCTGTTCTCCATAGCTTCCATCTGTGTGGGGCTTGCAATGCTCCATGTGCCTGCCCCGATAGCTCCAGCGCCCAGCACCGCCTCCTACACCGGTGGCTCGAGCTCAGGCTCTGCTCCAGGTCCTCTGCTCAGGAGCCGGGGATGAGGCTCTTGTGTCCGAGGATGCTGTGGCAGGGACAAGCCCTGTGGAAGGTGTGGGAGAGGGTGGGAGGATGTCACAGACGTTGTTAGGTTACTTATCTCATGCTCCCTCTGCTCCCTGGACCGCAAAGGACCCTATGACCCTCAGGTCTGTTCTTTTTCTCATTGAGTTTTCCACATACAGTGGACAATATGGACCCTGCGGTAAGTTTCTCAACAAGCCTTTGCTCTCTGAGGTCATTTCCTCTCCTCTTCACTGTCTCTCTAACACACACACACACAATGCACATACATGCATGTACACACATGACAGGGGAACCCACACAAACACACAGTAGACATACACAATTACACACACAAAGAGAGCCTGTCCCCCCACATGATACACACATATGCAGGGACACATACTGGGTAATTTGATAGATCCTCAGGCCCAGCTTGGGTCGTGGCAGCCGTAGGGCCTGAGGTCACCCCTGCACCACCACAGGGGCAGGTGTAGAGAGTGCTGGCTGTCTGGCTGCTCCTTCACCTCCGTTTGGTCCTTCTTTGGCCATGGCCACAGCAGCGGGATCTACCTTAACCCTCGTGAGGGGAGCCTTGCACTCTGGGCTGTGCCCAGCTGCAGGTTCCCGAGTCAACATGCTGCCTGCCCACTGGCTGCATGATGGGAGCACTGGGACTGTTGGAAGGCAATGAGGAGAGAGGGGATCACCAGGGGCTTTTGGTGGAAGCTGAGCTTAGACTCGAACGCAAAGCTTTGGGTTCACGCGGTGTCTGGATGAGGGAATGCTAGCTAATTTCCTTCCACTATGCCAGTGACTGACTTCCAGGCTTCTGTCTAAAGGGCTGTGAGTGGAAGGCAAAGGGAGGACTTTGTGGGGACTCCCAGGTACCGAGGGAGGTCTCTGCAGAGGCAAGAGACCGAGGGGGGCAGGACCTCAGCTCCACCGCTGGCTCGACTTGCGCAAGCCAGGCACGCTCTGAAACCCGGGTTTCATCATCCACAAAATGGAGCTAGGATTTCTTATGTGGTAGGATTTTTTATTTATTCATTAATTCGTTTGCTTGACAAAGATTTATTGAGTATCCACGGTGTTCCAGGGAGAGTGTTCTGGGCCCTGGGAAAGCTGCCATGGGTAAGCTGAGCCAACATCATTGATTATCGGAGTGAGATGGGGCAGTAGAGTTGGAGCCAACATGAATGTGTCTAGAAATACAGCAAAAGCGCAATGAATCCATGTAAGAGGACACAGCAATATGCCGCATAGTGTGGCACGCAACGTGCCAGACATGCCAGCAATGCTGTGATGGAGCTACGGAGAGGCCGAGGGCACAGTCTCTGACACGAAAGTCAGAGCTGGCGTTGCAGAGCGGCAGGAGCGGGGATTCCTGGTCCTGACAGCTGAGTGAGCAGGGAGCTGGTGGAAGAGCTGCACCTGCAGAGGTCGGGGCTTCTGAAGGGCCCGTGGCACTTCCCCTTTGGCTGACCCGGGAAACCCCAGAAGGGAGTCTGCACAGAAAAAACAGTCACCAGGCCTGTGCTGTAGCTCTCTTGGATTGCCAAGAATGACAAACAAAATACATGTCAACGTTTGCTGAGCTTTTGATGAAAGCACCCCCAGTTTTGAGGGGTAAATGCATGAATGCGGGTGGACATTTGTGAGTGGAAAGCTTAAGCAAACAATAGAAGCACAAAGAGGTCACCTCCTGCACCTCTATTCTTCACAGTGCTCCTCTCGTTTTCCTATTGTCTCTTTATTTCTAAAAGTGAAATAGGAAAAAAACCCGTCGGGAAGCCTGCTGTAAAATCGCTACTTCAGATGCTCTGTGACATGGACTCGTGAGAAAGAGGAAGGTGGAAACAAGTGGAGTGTATTGGCTCCACGGAGCAGGACTGCGGTTGAGCACGAAGGTTCTGCCCCCAAAATCGATATTCCTGTCTCTCTTTTTGGTCCTGCAGAAAATAATGTAGTCTCCAGGAAGCTCTCATGGCACCTGGCTCCTTCTGGAATCACTTCTGTCTGCTCACGCGCACGGCTGTGCTGAGGAGAGAGGCAGACGACTCTGCAATGGAAGCACTCTGCTTTGCTGCTCTCGTCTCGTGATTGACCTTGGCTGTGCTGTCCAGGCTAGCTGGGGTCAACCCTGAGACAGGGGACGCTGCTTGACCTTGGCTGTGCTGTCCAGGCTAGCTGGGGTCAACCCTGAGAGCAGGGACGCTGCTTGAGCTTGGCTGTGCTGTCCAGGCTAGCTGGGGTCAACCCTGAGACCGGGGACGCTGCTGTTCTTGCTCAGTGCTGTGGCTTCAAGCATCCCACACCCATTACCTCCTAAGTATCAGTGTCCAGGCCTAGCTGGGGGGTCTTCAGACTTGGGGCGTCTTCAGGACTGTGGGTCAGGGGTCAGCGGGGCTGCAGTCTCCAGGCTCAGCTGGACTAGAATCTGCTTTTGAGCTTGTGTGATTGTGCAGAATTGATTTGCCTGGTGATGAAGGGCTGAGTGCCTCAGCTTCTCCCTGGGTGCTGGCTGGGGGCCTCCTTCTGTTTTTAGGGACGGCATTCATCTGTGCACCTGTGGGCCCCCACTGTGACTGCCACCTTCATCACATCCTTCAGGGAGGCAGTCTCCAGTAAGATGGCATTGCAATCTGCTGTGACACAGTCGGCTGCATCATGAAGCTCAGGGTTCACATATGGGAATGAAACTAGGAGGTAGGAATGCTGAAGGACCACCACAGAACATATGGGTGACCATGCCGGCCATGGGAGATAACCGCCCCGCTTCAGCCTGGATTCCTGAGGAGAGGGACTGGACTGGGCCAAACGGGACTGACAGTGTGGAGCTGCACCTGCTGGAAGCTTCTGGAAATCATGCATGCCAGTCCGAAGTCATCCTCCTCAGGGCTGTCCTGTGGCCCTGCCCAGCTTAAGCTCATCCTGAGATGAAAACACGAGGGCTGGTTGAGCTGGTGACCTACTCCATGCTATGGAACTGGCTGAATGGTTCAGCCACAAGTTCATTCGATTCCCAGTGCAAGCTTAAAGATTCAACAAAACACCTACAAAATTGGGACTCAGTTGCATTTCACAGAGAAGCCATAAGACAGAGAGGCTCCCCAAACTGCCTTCCTGCTGGAACATGCGGCAACAGATTGGCTACAGTTGGAGTAGAAGAGAGATGGGGTAAAGAGAAGTGAATACCAAAAGCAAAAAGGACACAGTGAGGGAAAATGAAGATGTGCTGGAAATTTCCAAGATGTCTTTCCTAGGGTGAAATGAATTTCGGTGTGAACCAAGGGGCACTAGCTAACACATAGATTCATTCCAAGTGAAGGTGCTGCCTTGTACTTGGCAAACAGTGTACAGGAAACGTCTAGCCCACAGGCTGCGTAAGGTCCATAAAATCATATGGTCTGGTCCTGCCAAGGCAGCTGCAGGTGGGAGTAGAAATTCAGTAAACCTAAAGTAGGCTCATTTTTAAGTTGTTAATTTTGTGCAGCTCACAGATGGTGCTACGAATACCTAAATGGCCCTTGACAGGAAGAATGACTCCCCACCCAGAAATCACCATCTGTGAGCG